TGCATCAGGAGCTATTAAACCTGGGAGTTAGGGGTGGACCCTCTGAATCAGAACTTCCTGCATATTAAATAGTGGAGGCCACACATGGGAGAGGAGTAGGGAAAATACCCTGGTCATAACCTGTTCACTCTCCCTTTAAGCATCCACCCTCTGCTACAGTGTGACACAGGACACTGGGCAAGATGAGATGTATACTCTGAGCTGCTAAATGGCAGTTCTTATGCTATCCCCGGTAACTTTTAATCATTTTTTTTTCAATTAACTTTAAAAGTAGAGTGGACTACCTTGCATTTACTGCACCTAGAAATGTAGTGTGTAATAGCTGGTGTGCTATATAGTCATATCTGATCTAACTGTGCACAAACTTCTTCATGTTAACAAGCCATCAGCAGGTTCATACCTACTCATGTTACTTTTGCTTTGACACAGGTTGTGTATCACTCACTGCTCACAGTTGTGTTTAAAATCATGGTCTAATGATTTTAAGCCAACTGGACCACTCACTCACTTCTCAGGCATATTTGACTAACAGAGGTATTCAGGAGTTTTTTGCTAACTTTTTTTGCCAGAAAATACCAACGCATAAAACAATTGAACTTTGCATATAAAATTGTGGAGGTCAATGTATTTCCTGCAAAAAAGGGTGGGGGGGGGATCAAAATTATCCCATGTTAACAGTTTTAAGTAGAAAACTACATTTTTAGTTTGGGAATAAAAACCACTTCTTATGTAATAGCTTAAATTAATTTATAGTAAAATAATGCAAATAGATTTGAAATCATAGCAGAAATATTAATGTTATTGAACAAAATATGTTTTACATTATTTATTCAGTTCTGCCTCACGGAGATTTTGGATATTTCAACATTTCATACCTATTCAAGCTGGGGATTTTTTTGTAATCTTGAGGGTTCTCACAGGATAGGAATATCATTTCCTTCCCATATCCGGTGGCAAGAGATTATATTACTCTTTCACCCCTTTGAAATGTCTTCTTTTGAGTAGGTATTGATGTACAATAGTAGAGAGCTATGTGAGAAAAGTATTTGTTTTGTGGTTAGAAAGGGTCAGTCAGGCACATTAAACTTAAAAAGAAATTTTAAAAGTCCTTTTAAGCATTTTTTCTTATCTTGCCTAGATTTAACAATACTTTTCCTTTCAAATACCACCTGATAATTAAAAACACATTTATTGAGGCTTAAGAACTACCGTAAGTAAAAGATGCATTTGTCCAGTTCTGAAATTGGCAGTCTTTAGTAAATGAGTGTGCAAGCTATACCAGTAGCAAACTGGCAAGTATTTAACATTCTGTACAGCTTTCTTTTGATCTTGGCTTCTCAATCCATAAATAACACACATTTGCTCAAGCCCTGTCTGGTACAGTTAAAATTTCAATATCACAGTGATTCCCTCCAGTGAACCATTTAAAGTTCATGCTTAGGCATTGCTACACCCCCTACTCTTGCAAGATAGAGGTGAGTAATGTAGCACTGTGTTACATATCATAGACTATATGCTAAGAAATATCTGGGCCTTGGTTGGTGCAAAAAAATATCCTATAATAAATTATACAAATGTCAGGAATGTGACTCTGTAATCACTTCTATATTCCATATAAATATGCAAAAAGATAAACCACCAATGAAAGGTTATGCTATAAATTTCATAAGCTGTTTTGCCTCAGTAAAAAGTTTAAAGATTGGGCCCAATATTAGGAATACAAAGGCCCAAATATATGATTCTTGAAAACAACCCTGTGAAAATTTTCAAGCAGTTACTTTCTATACTGTCCCTATAATGTGGCTAAGATATAAGTAAACAATTTCCCCATTCAATTTCCCCTATTCACTTAACCAAACAGTAGCTGACATCTACTGGGTAATCTGCTCAAAAATATAATACAAGCATTTTGTTTCAACCTTTTTTACTATTATTGTATTTTGTTACATTGCACTGTTATATTGCTCCTTTTGACTTGAGCAGTTAGCCAGTATTTGGAGGCTTGAGGACTGAGCAATAAGGGTGAGAGAAATGGTGAAGGATTTCTTTTTATTTTAAAAGGGAAGTCTCAGGAACCACAGGATATATTAACCAGAAGCAGTTCTATGTCATGATGCAACCTAAGCTGGGTTAGGTTTTGGATAGGGCCTACGTACAAAACAGGATAGTACAGGAGGTGTAATTTGTAAATTAGTAGAAGGGGCAGGCATACACAAGATGATTACTGCAGAGCTAATTAATTAGCTCCACAGTAAATATTTCAGCATGTGCATGTGCATGTGCAGCCCTCTTAGGCCACAGGAAACTAATAAGCTCTACCATAGGATAGTACTTGTAAGTACAAGTACTATCTTAGTAGGGAGTTCTTCAGTGTACAGCAGTGCAGATGTAGACACTGATAGGGCTGGCTAGGGCACAAAGCCCACATCATAGCACCCTTTGGCCCCAGCCAGCCCTTCTGCAGCACATTGAACCTTGTCAAAGCAGCTCCAGGCTGGCAGGCTGACTGCTGGGGACCTGTGCCAGCTGGGGCTACTCTGACCTGGCTCCATGTGCTCTGACCTGGCTCCCGGGTGCACGTTCTATTGCGGTGCCCAGGACTAATAGCTCCAGCATGATATGCATATTAATTACACATGTTAACACACCTAGGGAGCACTTAGAGACAGAATATTAAGACTCGGAAGGACAGTTTGTTTTCACATTATTTGATGCTAGCTGCAGTGCCAATATGTGCTTAATTATTCTCTTGTGTAAGAACCTGTTTAGTTCTGGGAACATGGAGAAATCACTTTATTACACAGTATATGGTACCTTTAACAGGAGATATTACTGACTAAGCGCTTGAAGTGCAATGCTTTCTCTGCTAAGATGTCAAAGTGAAACTAAATTAACTAATTATCTTAGCAGTGAAGTACTATTAGGAGCAGGGGCAGATTCAGGAAAGGTGTAGCAGTGCAGATGCACCCCTGCCCAATTCTGTTGCTCAACTGAGGATAGTGACAGCAATGCACAGATCCCTTCTGCCTCTCTCACTTAGGTATCCTCTCCATTGGCCAGGAGGAAATGCACCACCACCACCACCCCTGGCTAAGAGATGCAAGGGAACCCCAGAGCTGCTCCTGCTCTGTGCCTGCCCCACGCTGCAGGGAGAGTCTATGCAAGAAGCTGGGCTCAGCAGCAGGAACGTACAAGTTCCTCTTTCCTGCACCTGCTCCCAGACAGTAGGGAACACTGGGGGAAGGAGGGGGAGCAGCAGAGAACAGGGGCTGGAAGAAGGAAGTTAAGTGCTGCTGCTGCTATCTTCAACCAAGCCTAGCTCTCCATAGAGAAGCTCTCCACAGCTCACAGCTAGAGCAGAGCAGGAGTGGTTCTGCCTGCTCGCCCCTACTCCTGGGTCAGTCAGGAACAGAGGCAGCATTGTTGATGGGGGGTGTGGGGCCAGTCCCTGCCCTCCTTTATGCTCCTGTTCCCTGTTCAGCTCTCTAATGTCCACCACTCACCTGGGTGCTCCAGCCACACCTTGCTCTCATCCCCCCCATGGTCTAAGGGGCAATGTTCTGTACCCCCTTTAGAAAATCCTGGATCCATCCAGGAGTGACTGTAAACAAAATAATTTATTTTAAAATGTAGCTTAATCAGTTCATGAAAGCACTTAAATGGAATGGTTATCTGCAACAGCAGAGAACTACACCTGATGACCCCGTTCCAACCACTCCTATACTTCTGTCTTTCTGAAGTGCTAGTCATCTCTGGCAATTAAAAAGCCCCTTACACTAGTAATAGAAGTGGGGTGGGGGCTTAACACTATGATCATGGCCAGCTTCTAATTTGTTAATTTTACCTTCTGCCTTTCCTTTCACTGTTTCTGTAGGGGGAAAAAACAATCCTTCACTTCCTATCCTAATTGGCTGAATAGTATTGCTGTGTACTCTGAAGTATTACAAGTAAAGTTCTGTTCCAGATAAGGCTACTGAAATGATGCTGGTATATAGTGACAGAATGATTTCAGTGGAAAAGTATCATATAAACTAAACACATTAGTCTGGTGATTTGACAGTTATCAATTGTATGGTGTTTGGAAAATATTCATACTGCATAACATCACCAGTAGCTGCAAGTATAATGGACCAGTCTCTGAATATATATATATAGAGAGAGAGAGAGAGACAGAGAGAGAGAGAGAGAGAGCGAGCACATGTATGTATGTGTGCGTATATGCACGCACACATGCACACATTAGAGAGTTTGAATAAAGCTATCTTAAATTACCAGGAAATAAAGGAGTCATTCATAGCACACTTGCTTGTTTCATACTGTGTTACATAATATGGTGTAATAGTTGTTTCACGTGACAAAGGCATCAGGTGTTTCAAGACAAATGGAATATAAAAACAGTGTTTGGAAGGGGGAGGAGGGTTGTCAAAGACTGAATGTACCTATTGCATCTCAGTAATTGCCACTTAGCATTTGATTAAATGAAAGCTGGTGAATAAAGGCAACTATTTCCATTGTTAAGCTTCATGTTCCAATTTGTACTATACCCTTCTCTGTCTTCCAAAGTCACAGTCACAATCCTCCATTTCTAGCAGCAAGCCACTTCCTTCCCTTTTCCTCCATTTTCTCTCATCTGTATGCATTTCCCACACTCAGTGCTCTGTTAAAGATGACTCACACCAGTTATAGGCTTTGAAGTTAACAGGCTTGCATTGACTCAACCTTGGAGAGACTGAAAAGACACAACCATGAGTGCACTTGAATATACAGGCTTGCCTGTGTGTTCTAGCAAAAATATTTGGCCTTCATTAGATAGGGTCTTGTCATCTAAGCTCCTTGAAGACAGACCATTTGTATATGGTCTGTGAGATTGTTTACAGCTTTATTTCTTTTTCTCTTGTGATAGCTAAATGGATTCAGACTAGTCAGAGGGGTCTCATTTTTTTTCCTACAAAGTGCTTTGTTGATAATATAGTCCCAGGGACAGAAAGGTGTTGTTTTCATCACCCTCCACTCTTCAAATTACACAAGTCCCATGCTGCTGATAGCATTGCTGTGGAAACATAAGGATAAACATATGGTAAGAAAACTCAGGTGCTAATTCCTTTCATGGTTAACTATTTCTGGGTCACTGACTTTTTTTGTCTTTTGTCTTGGATCCGTGTGGTTGAAAGTTGAGTTCTTTTAGGAGTAAGAGTCATGTCAATGAAATTAAGGACTAACCTCAATATTGGGTCAGAATTCAAAGCTAGTAAAAACCAAACAAAAGAGGGGAAAAGGTTAAAATAGTCAACTACATTTTAAAATTGTTCTTAAGGATTTTGATGCTGGAAACAGAAGTGCCAAACTCCTATGAGGAAGCCTTTTCTCATTTAAAGCATTTCAGGACTGACTGGAAAGAGGGAGGGAGGGGTGAGGGGGAACAGTGTCATAAGAAAATATTTTTCGATTGATTTCTAGCTCATATTTCATTGAATGAACCTAGGATTCCAAATGAAGCTAGTTAAAAAAAATACAGGTCTCTTCTTGGTGGAAAAAGGATAAGAAAATGTTTTATTTTCAAAATTGTCAATGATTTAGTTTAATTTTGTTTTTGTGGTCTGATTCTTTGTTTTTGGTATTTAGGTAAAACTTTGAAAATAAATATAAGGATCAAAATGTAAGAACAGACAAATAAGTGCACAGAGATGGAGGGGAATAGTATCCAACACATAATGTTGTCTGTCTTTCAGTTGTGTGTGAGGATTAGACCATTATACTACAAGGCTAACATTGGCCATGGGGGAACATGATGCATTGCCTTTTAGTCCAGCAGCACTTCCAGATCCATGGGGGTCACTTTCAGATGTGCTGAGCACCCACAGCTTCTACTAATTCCCATAATCATGGTTTGTGCTCAATTCTGGTCAAAACAAGAGCCACAGAGACTTTAGGAGACTTCTTGTACAATGGATTTCTGCGCCAACTGCTATTACAGAGAGCACATAAGATATATAATGTGGGAGTCTGTCTGTCTTCAGAAAAGTGAGAAACCGAAAGAGAGAAAACAAAGTCAAAATAATCTAGGTGTCATCTTCAAGTTATTTTAGGCATTAAGGAATCTAAACACTTTGACTTTCCATGAAAGTTAGAGCTTATCTACATGGGAGAAATTGCCTGGCATAGCTCTTCTGGTATAATTCATTTAGAATAAAATAACTTGCTTTTTTGGACATTTATTGGGATTAAGTTGCTTTTCATTTGGAATTAAATTTTCCATATGGAGAGCTACTGCAGATAGCTATTCCAGATAATTTTCTCATGTAGACAAGCCTTAAGTGGCTCCTAAGTCTGTGTCCAGATGAGCATGGACATGTGGTATCTGGTACAAAGTGTGCCATTGCTACTTGTCCCTGGATAAACCAATGGCCGTGCTTGTCTGGATGTTGCCATAGTGTCAAACACACTTCCACAAATTGCACCCTGGCTTCCAAGTCACTTTGGTGCTTTGGAAAAAAAGGATCCTCAGAATGTAATTCCTGGGATCTCTTGAGCATCTATTATAGCAACCTTTACAGCAGCAAGGCATTGACCGCTATGGTCCCCATGCTTTACCTTTGGTGTTTTAGGACTTTATGTCTTGTGCTGTGTCAGGGTTGAATATGAAGTTTTGCTAAGAAATTAGATAATGGATTTGTACAGGATGGTTTGGATAGAGATGGTCCTGCCTCAGGCAGGGGGTTAGACTAGATATCTTCTGGAGGTTTCTTCCAGCCTTACTTCTTTATGATTCTATGTAATAGAAATAGACCAGGTAGACAGGAGTTTTTGCATGTCCAAGGGTACACCAAAATAATAAATCAGTTGGGCAAATATCCTATTATTTGGATTGGAGTGTCACTCACTTTCTGATTACCATGTTAATATATGCATGTCCTACTGTGTTGCCAGCCAGTTTTGCTAGGACCCCAGGATTTATCTAAGTAGAAATAATAATAATCATAATAATAAGGTCTATTAAGAATTGTCCTTCCCTTTTTGTTTCTGTTGTAAAGTATGTATATGAAAGAAATGGAGCGACAACAAATAATGTTATTCTTCAGTGGAGCTGCAAGGCAATATTTGTAATAGTTTCTGGTTTCTGGTAAACCAGCCCCTCTAAATCCCACTGTTATTTCTCCTGTAGATTTCCATTTTAGTGAAACACTGCTACCATGCTGGCACTGAGTGTTTGGTCTGGCTTGGCTCTGCCATTCTTATGCAGGAGAAATAATTCTAAATTGTCCAAAATAACAAGCTGACAACTTGAAAGAAATACTACAGGAGAGATGGGCACTTTTAGACTTTCTGAACCATTTGATTGCTGCTGAATGCACCATGTAGACAGGTAGAGTGCTCCTGCTGTGCTGCTGAGTGTTCGAGGTACATCCAAGAGGAACATGCCATCTGTGCTACAGAGTGCGCCAAGAGTATCCAAATACAATGTGGCTTCTGGTGATTTTTTTCAGAGCCTGGATATCCAGGTTGAATACATCTGTTGCATGCTGAATTTTCTGGGTACAATCAAGCAAAACAGAACTGATGTTCTGCTAAAACTCAGGTATATTAAGAAAACAGGTTCCTACTGTGTTGCCAAATGTTCTAGGTATGGTCAAATAGAAAGAACAAGTGTACTGCTGGATGTTCCAGGTAGGTCCAGTTGCTAGGTCCAGTAGGTCATTTTGCTGTAGATCCCACTGTTACATAAAGCAACCAATGAAACACAGCAGGGACTGTTTCCCAGGATTAGATGCATCTTTCACAGATGGAGATGAAGGTAAGATTCTGCGGGTGAAAGTAGGAAGATAAAAAGCAAAAAGCTCAGATGATGAATAATTATGGCTTTACTAATGTACTAATTAAGTAAAAAACATCTTTTTAACCTTCATATTATTTTACCATTCTTGAGTACTCTTAAACTACCACTATTAAGCTGGTATTTGGAGTAGAAATTTGCAACTATACTGAAATCTAGACAAGAAAATATATATTATATACACACATACATTCACTGTATACAGTTACATTATATAATATTTATAATAAAACTGTACATCAATTATATATATGTATATGACTGGGATTCATTTGGGGAATTATAAACTAAGCAAGAGATACTGGATGAATTATATTTAACATTCTTAGAAGCATTCCTATCATGGAGTCTGATCGTCAGAACCACACAGGTTCAGGTCATGGGATATGAAGCTTGAAATGTGTATATCTTACCTTTTCTGTGTACTGCAAGTCTTATTTTCTAAGAACTCTACAGAGATGGCAGTTATTTCTCAGATTTATTACACAAGGGTAACTTTCTGATCTCACCTGAAGACCTTGTATTCTTTCTTTCTGATCCACATCCATTTTTTCCTGCCTAGCCTCCTGTGAGGTTATGTACTTTTATCCCTTTCTATTTTTATACAATGAAAGTCTAAAAAGTCGAAAGTCTATCTTCCTTTCTTACTATCTTTCATCCATCTAAAATGCATGCTATTTTAGACTAAAAGTCTGCATTTAGCAATATGTACACAGGGAAAAGAAATAACATTTCTATTTTTATGATCACAGAAATTTTTAGGTTTCTTTTTATAACTATAGGTAGGAAATGTACAATTCAGCTCTAAGATAAGTGAGATGGCAATCTAATCAAATGCTTGGAAAGCTAATGAAAGGAGATAGATGGGAGGGAAGGAATTTCATGTCTTTTAATTTTATTTTTTGGTTCTTCAGTAAATCTTTTCAGATACTAAAAATGCTAAAGAGAACAAAAAGACCCCAGAACAGAGCAAGAGCCTAACTCAGGGCCAGGCAAAATATGGCCCAGGGGCCGGATCCAGCATGCCAGGCACTTTCATCTGGCCCATGGTGCCCCACAACGAATTGCACCCCACCCAGCCCTTCCACCCATGAGGGTGAGAGCGAGGTGTCCATGTGTACACGCACCCCCAAACATACCCTATTGAGCCTTGCTCCCATCCTTGTGGGCAGAAGGGCCCAACCAGACAAGCACAAGCATCCACATGAGGCTGCTGCTGCTGCTGCTGCAGCCCCCAGGACCTGCTCCACTTCCCCAATCTCATGCTGACTCTGGGCAGCAAGCAGGTAGGGTGAGGCTGCAGCTGGCTGGGCATGGGAGGGAAGCCCCATGTGCTGGAGCTGGCTGCCTTACCCTCCCCTGCAGTGCAGCCCCAGTAGGAAAGGCAGCTGGCTCCAGTGTGTGGGGCTTCCCTCCCATGCCCAGCCAGTGCAGGGGATGTGCATGAGTGGCAGGGAGTGCCAGCAATACAGACGGCCCAGCAGAGGTGCAGCACAGGTTGGAGCTACGCCCCACCAGGCACCTACGCCCTGAGCACCCTGCCTGCTGCTGCTTCCCACACACCCCTCCCTGACATGCCACAAACCCCACACACCCATACCCTGACCCCAATACCCGTACATATATATGCAGCCCCCAACATACCTTATGCCCCCCACACCGACTACCATACCCCCTTATGAACCTCCACACACCCGCACCCTTTTATACTCCTACACCCTCCATACACACACACACGCACGCACACACACACACATCCCACTGCACTCCCACACCCCATCACCCACCCACGCCCACACCCTATAATACACACATACTCCACGATACCCACATCCTCCACAATATGCAAGACTAAGAATTTATTTTTGAGTTATGCAATCACCTGTATATACACTATGCAAACACAAATCATGACAGCAGTATTTTCTGTAATAATATTAAAATATGTTACAGTAGGTATTTGACTTTTAGTGTATGTGGTTTTTTTTTTGGTTTTTTTTCCTTTTTCTAAGATGGCAACCCCACTCCCAAAATTCATATTTCGGGGGGGGGGGTAAGAATGGGGGGGGAGGGATTTCTGGTGGCAAAGGTCAGGGGTTAGAGGTAGGACTTCCAGTCCCAAGGTGGCAGAAAGGGAGCAGGGTGTGGCAGGAAGCCACCTTTGTTTCTCCCCAAAATCTCTGCTGTGACAATTTGATTAGGATGGGCCCAGCAGAGGAGACACCCCTTTACCCTGTCTCTTTAGG